ATTTCACGTTACAGATACTAGGAAAGTATCGGAGCTGCAGCGTACAAGATGAGCGTGGGCAAGATTTTAACATGGATGTTATATTTTATCATAATAAGCGAGTGCCACATCCGAAAGGGACGCGACGAGGATGGTTCGAAGCTTATACGTATCAATGGTGATGTAATTCTCGGAGGAATCTTTCCTATGCACGAACAAGTATGTATAATTCTATTGTATTTTCTATAGATAACAAATGGTCTGAAATTGGCGTATGAATGTAAAATTCTACGGTATTCGAAGCTTCATTGTGTCACCAAATTTCATTACTAAGTTCGGTGAAAAGGAATTAAGCCACTTACCAACTTCGACTAACTTCAGAAATTGCGTAACAGTTTCACTTCCGAAACGAATATTTCGGAAATAAAGAGTATTATTAGCGAACTTTTGCAAGTTGCAAGTTATAAGATGGCAGTATTGATAAATTCTTTTGCGCAATAGAGTCATTAAAATGAACAAACCTTATAAATTTTTACGTTTTATCTATTTTACTTTAATTTGCATTGTCTATTCGCGTGTAAGATACCTTCGATACTTTGAATACACAGTGGTTGAAGTATTATACACACGAACTGCTAACTTTCTACTACGAAATAAAAATTTCCTCCCATCAAAGGGGATTATCTCTATTGGAAATTTAAACACCCTTGTTTTCATATTCCAATATCGAACTATATAGCTTCTACATTTTCATCGTTTGCATCGACGTACATAAATTATTAGTTTCAATATTTAAACATCCCATTTGAAAAATTCTTCATTCCATTAAAACAGAGAGAAGAATAAATGTGAAAATAGATCATACGTACATCGCTTCTCTGAATTTTCGTGTAAAACAGTTACGTATGTATGCTGAATGTATAGGTTCTTTTCTTATAAAATAATGTCCAAGCAAATTCTGTTACTATACTCACATATTGCATTCATTTTACTTTGTTCCATTAATTTAATTATATATATGTTGTTGTTGTATTATTAACACTAAAATAATACGGGTTTTGCCTTATTGTAGTGCTACGCAGGACACGTGAAAGCTTCGCCGCATTTACAATACACATTACTACATTATTAATTATCGAAATCAGCATTATCTCTGCAGAGGAAAATTGAGAATTTTTAGAAGAGAGTCGTGTCAAATGAAACACGAATGCTGAAAAGTTTCAGTGAACAGGAAACAGCGCACGATATTATTGAAAAGGAATATGTATTCCGCGAAACAAATTTTTTAACATTTTTTAAACTCAAAATGCATGGCGCTGAATATTAATAGAAGGAGAAAAGAAGTGCGAGGGATATTCATTTAGATGCTACGTTGTAAACGATCAACTTTTTCAACCGTTTCCTTTCATATTATTTTATGAATGAATTATTATATAATTCACAACATTCGTTTCTTATAAATTTCTGTAAAATTGTGACATCGGACGTAGAAGGTAATGGGTCGTGGTATTTTTGATCGAAAAATTGTCGAACTGCTAGAACTTGGCGAAGAAAAATCATACAATAATTCGCCTGGATACGTTTTAAAGGAGCAAGTATCTACTTTCACCTCCATAAGTTGATTTTCTTCGAAGATGCTTTCACGCTAGCAAGCGACACGAAAGTCAAGGTGGTTTTTCTCACGAAAATTTTACAGAGTCAAGCTACTCTGTAGAGCCAGGATATTCCTTTTCTCCACCCAAATCATTACGAACGTAAATGTCAAAGTCTGTTCTTTATAACGATCCGTCAGGAGCTAATTTAAAATTTGTTTCACCGTTTTATCGCTTCCAAAATTTATTCACGCGGATCGCATATTGTATGATTATTCTTCGCGAAGTCACAACGGCTAAAAAATTCAACAATATCTCGATAAAGATTTCGTGCTCTTTTAATTATCGCGTTATTTTAATTAATATTAATACACTCTCACACTATATCACGTAACAAAAGTTACTTTAATTACTCTACAATTGGCAAAAGGTATTAATTAACGAGACAAGGTAATGTGCTCTTTGCCATATAATGTTGATCGATGAAACGTTTTATTCCACGTGGTCCTTTTATGTAGTCGGAAATATTGGACTCTGTTTCTTTTTTCGCTTCTAACGTATCGGTAGAACTGGCATGTTTCAGAGAAGCTCCAGAGAGTTGAACGTGAAATGCATTTTTCTTCCCTAACTTAATCTTTAAGTGAATGCACCGAGTCACGAAATGTTACTGGTTGTTCCATTTTATACGATTCTTATTTGACGCTAATACGACAGATATTATTATAGCATTAGTAACTTAGGGCTTTCCTTTCATAGATAAATGTCATACAATGCCTACAATTCGTTGTCTTTTAATAATACATAGAGAAGAGTAATTTGACGAAATTGTCATATTAAAAAAAAACAAAAACGCTGGATCATCGTCGATCACCATACATTTTTATCGAAGTAATAGCTGAGATGTAACTTTTAAAACGATGTATGGTATTTGTTATGAAAAAAGGACGAATATATATATTTTTGTATTGTTACTTTATGTATACTATATAAAGTAGAAGCAACTGTTTATAATAACTACAATAACAATTTATTAATCGTTTAACAATTTAATTCACAAAATTCGTATTACTATAATCTAACAGAATAATTGAAAATGCGATGTTAAGCTTGTCTTCAATCTGCAATATGTTTATACGTATAATTCTCTGTCATCTTGACGGTGGCTTTTGAGTTCCATCTTCGTAAGGCGATTTTTACGGATCACGTGTTTTTCACAAATGTACAGAAATGCGCACGAACTTATGGACTGACCCAATATCAAGAGAAAGAAACATGTACGTACTTACTACATAAATCACGACAGGCGCGCATTTAAGTTTTCTTCGCGTACTAAAAATAGGTCAGATAGACGATTCGATCTTCTAGGGTCAGTTTTTCCTTGATAGACAAACGTATTTGTGCAAGAAAATGGAACTTATCGCAAGATAACAAACATCAGATCCCAAAGAGAAACTTCGTAACATTAGATGCGTTCAGAGTGACGTTTGAAAGAATTTCTTTTTCTATTTACAATCCATTTGTTGGAATAATTAATGAAATACTGTAAATGTTAAAAATTATGCGAAGATTCTGATAGTTTTGCAGTTTAAAAAAATTTTCAACAAATTTATTAACGCTATATGAACGCTGTAAATAACGAACTTTATATTGTACTTATGAAGAAACGTCTGTAAGATTAGCGAGATACGGAGTACATTTTATATTCTCTTTGATATCAAGTAACAAATTATTCCAACGTTATTATAACAGAAGAGAATATGCGACTGTAATTCTTCCACTTTGTAAGTATGAACGAGTTGTAACAGCTTTTGTGTTATCCAAAGTAACGAGGAAAACTGTCCAACTGTCTCGCTCAATGTTTTACGAAACTTTGCTAGCTTATAGGGTTCATCAAGCACATTCTCTTTTAGATGCAGCTAATTGTTTACGATGTACAATGTACACACACGTTAACAATTGGAATTACGCCGTGACATATATCCGGAGCTAGTAGCGTAGTACTCTGATTCAGGTTCTTACGTATCCTTAATCCGTAAGACAACAACCTGATCGAATGTGTCCTGAAAATGTCTGCGTAGTTTACTTGAATGGGATTAAAGGCAGAATGAAATAGAAACAGAAGAAGTGTGCAGGTGTTAGAGTATACGTGGTGCTCTAAGCTTTCCGAGGCCAAATTTTTTTTGGATATTCTATGAGTATAACTGAGACAAAAACATTATATAAATATAGATCGTTTGAAACTTCATTAAAAAGTTATGGTAAATTGGTATATTTCATTTCAAGATATGAATTTTAATACTTTATTAATTTTAATACTTTAAGTTCATTTTGATTCCAATTCATCTTAATGAATCAATTATCTCTTTGTATCAATTCACCACACGTATCCATATTCGTTTGATATATTCCTCTTTTTTTCTTTCTTCTTAACTTGCTTTCTTTCCCTGAAACCATAGGTTGAATTTTATAATTTTTAAGAAAGATTCGTTTCCCTTGATAACGTGTCACCAAAATTTATATTATTCTTTCTGTATTTCGTATTTTTATTATAACTACTTAATGAAGCTTTACATACTGGTAAAGTTTCCAAAACATGGAACACCTTGTATTATGTGGAAGATAGGTGCTCGAGTTGACTCGATTGCTGCATAAATGATACCAAGGGCGACAGTTTTCTGCCGAGTAATTTTAGTATTTTATTTTTCTTATTTTCCGTCTTGCCAGAGAAAGCACATACGATAAAATAAATACAATAAGAATCGCTCGAACATTTGCTTTATTTTACAGCGCCGATTCTCAAATCTATACTTTCGCATTTAAAGGGAACTGTGAATTTAAAGAGTGGAAAGTTTGTGAAGTTATGCCTACATAAAAGATCACTTAGGTATATTTAATAGGCGGATAAAAGAAGACACGCTTGGAAAAATCGCGTCAGATTTTAATATCTTCGCAGGAAGCTTTCCGAAGATAGTAAATCATCTGAAACGAAATGGAACTGCAGAAAACCGTCTAAGATCACGCCCACGGAGAATTATGGTGCGATAGGATCGCATGATACGAAAGCAAAGAGGTGGTAAAAAATTGTTTAATCTCTTGTACATAATTGAAACCTAAATTCCGTCTTTTTACCCAAGAGATATAAATTTGTACGCGAGTAAAAGAGATAGGATATCACCAGGCATGACAATGAGCACTAAAAAGACAGTCATTTACAGCAAACCAAGTGATTCTGAGAAGGACGATTAAACAGATTCAGCGACTAAAGATATTTAGAGTACACGGTAGGAATTAAACAAATCCAACAATTAGTTCTATATATCTTTCCACATAAGTGCATTTTGTACATTTTTGCTTCTTTAAATTTCTCGTAAATGTTTTCCACGGGAAAGAACAATTTTTCCAAAAATGTCATTCACACTCTTTTTATTCTACAAAATTCGTAAATTTTTAGCCAATGAAAAACACGGGCAGAGATTTTTAGATCATCGTGATTAGTGCAACCGTTAAACACTGAAGTGGATCTGTGCTAATACCTGGCTGCATTTCGTTAATTACGGCAGACGATTTACAATTTATAGAAGACATATTAACACGGGCAGAGATATGAAAAAATTACTACGAAAAAATGTACAACAGTCCGCTGAGAAAAAATAATGAACCACTGGGATCCATTTATTTTCTAACGAAACAATTATCTCACGCATAAACGTAAAATTACAAGGAAATTTTTCGACGGAAAGAATTATCGTCGCTGTAAGCACAAAATCCCGACTACAACTGGTTCGAGCATTTATAGCACTTGGATAAAAACATTGCCAAGCGCTGTAAAATCAATAAACCCTTGTTTACTAAAGAATACTATCAAACGAACCAGCCGAAATAAATAGACATGTAATTAATAAATTAGTAAAAAAATGTGCCGGGATAAATCTGGGAAAAAAACAAACAAATTCGAAGATTTCATAAGAATTTTTCAACTCGTTAATAATTCGCTACTTACATGCACAAAAATGCAACGGAATTATTTCCAACTCTATGATATGTTTTCACATGAGTGTACATTTTTTAAATCTATTTATGTAAGCGATGTATGACTTGTATATTTTTGATATACGGTAGCATACAATTCAATAAGCAGCTTTTGTTAAATTTATCTTTAAAAAGTAAGTGTAAGGGAACACGATTATCGAGTATATACTGGAAATCAATCATATTATTCATGGATTTTATTCATAATCATATTTTTATTCATAGGTGGCAGGTTCCATCGGTCAATCACCATGCGGAGCAGTGAAAGAAGAAAAAGGAATGCAACGTTTGGAGGCTATGTTGTACGTTCTCGATGAAATAAATTCAGACGATGAGTTATTGCCAAACACCACGTTAGGCGCGCTTATTCTCGACTCCTGCAGCAGTGATACATATGCACTTGATCAGAGTATGGAATTCGTCAGATCTTATATGAATCAAGTAAGTACATGTACAGTATTAAGACATTTTAAGCTCATAAATTTTACATTTGTAGGAGAGACGTATCTAATCTTTAGCACTGCAATACCATTACTTAACTTGACAACTCGTGCGTCGTCTTTCGCCTGATAGATATCGTTTAACATAACAAATTAGTAAGACACAGTTTTATTCGAAGATCTCTTCCTTTTACTCTTCTCTCTGTTAAAATAACTGTAATGTTCCTTACAAATCTTCTTCCTACACGATTGCATATTCCCTTTTGAGAAATCATTTTATGCGCGACTTTATCGCCAGATTTGTCTTCAGAATATGTGAATTCACCATTTTCATTCATATTTTCTACTTGTTGAAACCATGATTATGTCAGATAGATCTGAATTCTGTACGATGCAGTACCTCGAGTATTCTTCTGTAGGATTTACGATAGGAAATCTTTCCACTTCTAAGCAAATGTTTTAAAAAATATCTAATTGAAAGAATAAGAATACTAACGAATTACATATTTGTGCTTTGTCTGTACGCTTTCTTTTTAGTAAAAAAGTAAATTCTAAATAGATGCAACCAATTTATCCATAAAGCCAAGCTAAGGTACGAAAGATAGAAAAAATAAAATCATAGTTGTTCGATAAATATTTAAAATAATGTAAGTGTATGTAAAATATATGTTTAAATAATACAAAATAAGGTATCTTCTTAGATTACCTTATCAAGTTTAAGTATACCCTCAAGGCAGTAGATTAATCTTTACCCATCTAACACCAGAAATTAATAGACCAGATTTATCAATTTCGGTCCGTTTAACACTCGAAGCTCCATGTATAGTAAATTTTATAGGATACTACGTATTTAAAAATAATATTCATTTGCAATAGAATCAATCGATAGACTTGATTGAAAATTACTTAAATAAATTACCTCTTCTAACGAATTTTAATAAGTTATCGACTATCGATTGATGATAACGTAGTAGGAAGAAAACACATATTACAGGCTATTAATTTTTCTTAAAGAATTATTTCATATAATTACAACTGCTCTTACATATCAACTTACTTATCGTAACAAGTTACTATTATTACATGTATTTTTCAGTGAACTAAGCGATACATTAATTAATTTTCTGTCGTACGATGATTCAAACTGAATCATATTTCTGAATCGTATTTTTCTCAACTTTTATTTACATTTTCTTATTTTTAAACTAATACGATGACCATTGCAAAACTTTTCAACAGAGATGTACATGCATAGTACGAGTGATTTACATATCGGAAAATGCTTAAGTTACAACGAAACTTCGAAGAAGACTACATCTTTCTTTAATTTACTCTGCAAAACAACATGGAAAATGGTGGAGAACATTTTACGCGGTGTCATTTAGTATTCTTAGTGAAGTGGAAATGATTCGGAAGAGCATCTGCTACTCCCTGCTTTGGCGTTATATACCTAGATGCGACGATAGCACTGATGCAGATATAACCTTTGCAGAGACCACTATTTCTTTGGTATCTGACGCGAAGTAGAAAATTTAGAATCGATACTCTGTCATCTCCCGTCCGTTTCAAGCATGACGGACGCTGCTACTATGTATAAGTAGCATAAGTCTAGCATTGACCAGACTCGTAACCAACAACTCTTCGACGACAAACCGAGCTCCAATTATCTATCCCTCATTTTACATAAATTTCGTCCGGACATTTATATCTATGAATAAACGATCGATTATTATTTAGAACACGAGATAATAATTTTATGTTAAATAGAGATTGTCGATAAAGAAACTAGTAAACGAATCAATAACCATAGTGGATCAATTGAATGTTTCATAGCTGTGTATCTCTACCTTAGAAATAAGCTTTAAATTACTTGGGCGTCATATTTTCTGCTCCGGTTGCAACAACGATTAGTAATTAGACTTTATGAAAATTAAAAATTAAAATGAGAATTTCATTAAATTTACATTTACAAACGCAACGATACATGCCTTCTAGCGAATCGCACGTATGTATATTTAATATACTCCCAACATTCAGCTCCTCGTATAAAACTAGGTATGATAAAATTTTATTTCATACACGTATTTGCGATTTGTTTGTGCATGAAACATCACTGATTTTTCAATCACGCTGCGAACATTTTGTACGTGTTTTTCTCAAAATATCTCTATATCTGTTTTGAAAAATCTATGCAACTATGAAGCGAAACCTTGTTTGAAAATTATGCTTTTATTTTAGTGACTTAGTTAAGCAAAATAGATGGTTGTAGTATATTTCCACAATATTTTTCGGTAGAACAAGCAGAATGAATATAAAATTGTAAAAGAGAAATTAGTGGAAATAAAAGACGCAAAATGGCCAACTTGATTTAACAAAAATTCGAATGGATATTTTTATGCATACAAAATCAACATTCACGTTAACCAATGAAGTTCTTTTGTACAAAGTGCAATAGGCTACCGATTCTGATATACCACAACAGTTCATTAACGATAAACTACTCGATACAATCTGTTCGTTCAATGATTTCCATTTATACAATATATACATATACATGCGTATATATGCGATATCAGTTTTTAATTCAAAGCATCGATATAAGCAAATCTGATCGACGAGTAGAATAGACACAATACAAACACGCGTGATTTCTCTTTTATTCGTTTTCAGGATATATCGGAATACAAATGTGAAAATGACAAACCACCGATGTATGTGCCCCATAAACCTGTCACGGGTGTTATAGGAGCTTCGTTTAGCGTAGTCTCCATTATGGTAGCCAATATTCTGCGATTATTCAAGGTCAGTAGTTAAAAATCATTCTCATCGAAGTGAAAAATTCGTACGTTTACTATCGGTGTAGGAAAGATATGTTAAAATAGCGGACAGATTTTTCATCGTTTCACGTTACGACTTTTTATCCAGAAATATGTAAAATTCAAATGTTCAAAATCATTTATTGTCTCTCGATACCTGTTCCATCGACTGATCGAAGCTAAACGATTACGTGCAAGACTATAGTCAGATATTCAACTACATATATAGGCTTACAGAGAAATGTTCGAATAAATCAGTGAAATCCGTTTTGCATTTTTCCATTCGTTTTAATACCGTTCAACCCGTCCGCCCACATACTCCGCGTGCTTCTTCCACCTGCACGGTTTTGAACGCATTTACATCATATAAAATCATACATATCAAAAGATTCCAACTTCAAAGCTGCGTGAAAAAATGTTTCCAATGGAAATTTCAGAATCTTAAGGATGGACCCTCAGTTTGCAAACTGTTCAATCATTTCTCGACGTCCCTTGTTCCGAATATATCGCATGCTTTGATTTATCCCATGATACTGAAATTATCGGCGAAATAACTGTAAAGGGCGGATGTACGTGAAAAGATGGAACGTATGAAATCATCGTTATCCTGTGAAAAACAATTATAAGAGTGATTAATCAAGAGCGCAAGAATACAAGTTGCCGAAAGAAAAACGAACGAAATGAATTGGCAGGAACAAAAACGACACCGCTACTGTACTTCCTCATCCTGTAATTAAATATGGTGTCTCTGAGCGCTGGTACCACTGAGCTTTATAGCACCTCGGAGATCTTGAAAGAAATGATACGTATAAATCTTAGTCGAGGGCCAAGAGTATTTCGTTTCTGGCAATATTTTAATCCCAGCGATACTATGAAACACTGTCAGGGTATAAACAGTTAAAAATGTTCTGTACAAATAGCGTAACAATGTTGTAATCTTGAATTTTCGTCATTCGTAACGCATCACCGAACAGATTACTGTTTTCATTGGAAACTCGCAAACAAAATGCGCAGCTATAGAAAAAGTATCAAACACGCCGAGTTTTGTAGCGTAATTTGCCGAGCGTTAATTCAATTAAGCGTTGTTTGTCAGGCTAGATCGTTTAAATCCAGCGCGTTGTTCGCGGTTTTGTTTCTTGTTCTTCTATTTCGAGTGCTGACGCGAACCCAGTAAGTTAATTAATAGCTCTTGAAGCAATTCAGTGGAAAAAATTAGAAACTACTCGTTTCGAACTTTCTACCATTTCTTATCAACGTTGAAAACTGTTTAAAGTTCTTCTGTTCAAACTTCGAGAAAAGGATAATATATATTTTCTATGTCCTTTTAAAATTGCATATTCAATTTCATTTATGTGAAAGATCAAACTTTTCATATATCTCGATTATTCGCGTGTTCCATGTCAAAAGATATGGATTTTATTAACGTTTTAAATACCTCTATTACAAAACGTAGTAACACTCGTTCGTTAATATCGTAAAAAATTTGTTGAAACGTGGAAAGAAAGATGATTATTACACCGGTTTCAGATACCACAGATAAGCTACGCATCAACGAGCACAGAACTGTCGGATAAAAGTCGCTTCGAATATTTTAGTAGGGTAGTGCCGCCAGATAATTTTCAAGCTCAAGCCATGGTGGAAATCATTCATCAACTCGGTTGGAAATACGTATCTACGGTTGCAGTTGAAGGTGATTACGGAGAGAAGGTAATTAATACTTGTACATTCTTCATGCGTATCAACAATTCCATTTTTTTCTCTAATTATACTCATCTTCGCTTCTATTTCCTCCAGGATAATGACTTGGAATGATCCGTTATAAAAAGTACCGTAATGATATATCGTACATTTGTAATCGTTTATGCTTCTCGCCAGGATTAATATTTTATATTATATAAGGCGCGTTTTACATAAGGAATACAATTTTTTACGTTAATCAGTAGACGGTGAATATTTATGCAAATTTTTCCATGACATTATTGATCTTTACGTGTTTTTCACAAAGCAACACAATATCGTACAAATTTTACTTTAATTTTCCCAGGATATCATCCATTGTTTATGTCGTGACAGACTAATAGATCTAAATTTAAAGAAGCTTATGAATCTCTTTGAACGCATCTTAAATCCTTATCCTATCAATTTGAACTTTTTGACTTTCCTCGCTCACGATATAATATCTAGCTCTTATGGTCGATTATAAAAGTTTTAATTAATGCATTCTCAACAATAGACTTGTCAAAAGTTCGTGCCATAAATCTAACTACTTTAACAACATTTCTGACTAATAATAAAAAATCCCTTCGTAAAAACATTTTTCATATTGTTCCAACGTTTAATCGACCACCTCGATTAACTGTTACTCGTCCATTCCGTACAGGGTATTGCCAGTTTTACCTCATTGTCGACGGAGTATAGTATCTGCGTAGCAGTCAGCGAGAAGATTTTGAGAAATGCGAAAGCCGAAGATTTCGATAAAATCGTGGAAAGACTCGGTTCGAAACACAATGCCAGGGGTGTCGTTTTATTCGTCGATGAAGATAACATAAGGTAAAAATCGACTGCTTTTTGCTCTCCTTACTCCACTCAACCGTTTTTGCACGTCATTTCCAAGCAGGTCATTAATCATTTCTTTCAACGATATTACCTGGTCCAATATCAACCATATCTTTCATTAAAGATGTCAAGGGTTAATTCGATGCTGCTAACTGTGTAACATATATATGAAATAACTATATAAAATGTGTCGTCGTGTAACAAACATTTCAATTGTCTGCCAGTTTTCTCTATGTTAATTGATAAGAATTATTTGCTGTTTCTCATTCAAAAAGAAATTGTTTATTATTCGCAGGAAACTTCTACAGGCAGCTGTTAGAGCTAATCGTACAGGCCATTTCATGTGGATTGGTAGCGATTCGTGGGGTGCTAAAGTATATCCAGTGAGAGATCAAGAATTCGCGGCGGAGGGTGCAATCACAATTTTGCCTTATAGAACATCCCTTCAAGGTAAATTGATTACAAATACTTGGTCGAGTTTCGAGCGACGAATCTAAGAATCTCAACATTTTTGTTCCATTCGCCCTTCTGGACGATTGTGTTGTTTAAATTTTTACAAACTTTGTTCAATAATGGGGTTTTCCATATAATACTTTGAAAAAGTAAAGATTCGTCTGAGTAAAACGCGAGAAAACGAGGCTAAAAAATGATTGATAATTATCCAATTAGAAAGAAACTTCAGCTTGTTTGAAATTCTCCATGCTCTGAGCAAAATTGAAGTTTCTGGATAAGATAAAAAGATAAGAGAAAAAGGATTCGTAAGGTATCTTTGGGAGATAGTACAAGTATCTTCAATTGACTAATTGCAAAGCGAGACTTCTGCGATCAAAATCAATTGGGTTAATGAGTAGGATCAAAGAAAAATATCTTAGTTAAAGATATTAATTATTTATGTGAGATCCTGTTTGCTTTGTTAAACATGTGCGATGGAAACCTCATTTTTTCTCGGTAAATTTCAATATTAAACCTAACGCTAACATTTTAATAAGCTGTGTAATATAGCAAATTAAATCTCTGTTTTAAAGATATCGTAGATACATTCAATGCTTTAAAATAACTATTATTTTCAGATTTTGATGACTATTATTTAAGCCTTCGACCAAGAGTGGATAATGAATGTGATGGTCAGAGTGAAAGTAATGTGCCACACAAGAAACTGCCTGGAAAAATAGTAAATTGTCGAAATATTTGGTTTCGAGAATTTTGGTCTCAGCATCACAAATGCAGCTTCAATGCAAATTTGTCTGCTGGCATGACACCCTGTACTGGTAACGAGAAATTAATTGATTATGAGCAAGAAGGATTGGTGCCGTTTGTCGGTGAGAGATATCTCCATTATTTATATATGACTTCATGAAATTATTTAAGCAAGTCTGAAGGAGAGCATAGAAATTAAATTTCATCTATTAACAATTCCATTTAATTACGAAAGTATTCACAGGGAAAGTATAAGCAAAAGAATAATCTAAATAATAGAAGAACATAGGAAATAAAATGACATTTTTGTAATCTGTTAACTTTTGTTTATCTCTCTTCTTGAGAATAAGCTGCAGCAAAATTTACACCCCTTTCCCTCCAAAAAACCAAAAACACTACGCTTGATTGATTTTAGTTGATGCAGTTTACGCAATGGCGCATGGTGTTCATAATTTAATAAACGAGGAATGTATAAATAATGCTGGAACTAACCATTATTTGTGTGAAGATCTTCGTCCAGCCCCAGACGGTCAACAACTTCTTCAACATATTCGAAATGTTAGTTTTATCGGTAAGTATGGTCTTTATGGTCCTCCGTAGAATCTTTGATCGTAATGTTTTTCTCCAATTCTACTTACAATTTGAAATTGGATAATTTACATCTGCAGATATCTTATAAATAAATTTATTTATCATTCTTTCACCTTAATTCGTGTCACTATCAAACATTATTTTTTATGGATAGACCTGTACATACAATTAATTTACACTTTCTTTAAATAACATTCAGGTCGTCAAGGTACTGAAATTAAATTCAAATCCGATGGCGATGCGTATGGATTTTATAATATATATCAGTATCAAAGAAAAGAAGACGGGCGTTTTGATTATGTTCTTATCGGTACATGGAAAGAGGAGTAAGTAAAGCATTACAATTATAACAATTTTTTATCCGAGTTTATTAAATTAGCTATCCAGCTGCTCGTCCAAATATCTCTAATCTATCTCAAGGAAGTTTTGAAGGATATTTCATATAAATCTCGATAATAAACGCAATGAAATTTTGCAATTCTTATTCTCAGGTTGGACCTTGATATTAACATGACAAGGTGGGCAACAGGGCCCGGAGAAATGCACATCCCTCGAAGTTTATGCAGCGATAATTGCCCGCTGGGTCATGTACGCAATTTTCAGGTGAATAATACGAGTAAATAATTCGATTTAATATCCTTCTATGTGGTTTACAAAGTAACTACAGTTTAATTTTCATGTATAAAGATTATTCAACTTTGTATTCTTAGAAATAATATTTTGTAACGTAACGATATTTCCAGGAAGCCTGTTGTTGGAGTTGCGTGGCATGTCGCGAAGACGCTTACGTTTTTAATGACACTTGTCGCAGCTGTGGTCCAGGATATGCACCGGATGAAACAGTAACAAGTTGCATCAAACTAACAGCAGAAGTTATTCCATGGACTAGTCCGTGGGCATTGGTGCCATTGATATTTGCATCCATTGGCATACTTAGTACTTTGTTTACAACGATAGTTTTCATTCGGTATGTTCACAGTCTACCCTACAAGTTGTTCCAGTTTTTAACGTAAAAAATACGCGACTAATAATTTCAAGAATTTAAATGTTCTAAAATGTATTTTCCCAAAATTGTTACCTCGGAATAAGAACCTTGCTCTTATTCTATTTCATTGATACTAATTGACTAATTACATTCCAGTTTCAATCGTACTCCAGTAATTATGGCTTCTGGACGCGAGTTATGTTACGTGTTGCTAGTAGGGATTCTATCGTGTTACGGCATGAGTTTCGTGATATTAAGCAAGCCAACTACATGGAATTGCACATATCTGAGAATCGGTCTTGGCTTGTGCTTAAGCATCTGTTATAGCGCGATACTAACTAAAACAAATCGTATATCACGCATATTCAATCAAGGAACTAAGAGTATAAAGAGGCCTTCTTATACGTCTCCGAAGAGCCAAGTTGTAATCGCTATCGGTGAGTTTGTAATTTTCGAAGGATATTTTGATAAAATATCGAAATTTTACTTTTCCATCAAAATTAAAAGCTTAAAATGTAAAATTTTACAAAGTTGTTGCGATGCTTTTACCGTAGTCGGCATGATTAACTTGTTCTTCCTCTTGATATCGTATTATGTAACTCCCGTTTTTATAGGGATCACCGCAGTGCAATTAGTTGGTGTTATCGTCTGGCTAATCATTGAACCACCGGATACCACGGAAATTCATCCGTATCCATTATCAGCAGTACTCACATGCCGCGTTTCCACGTTTTCATTGATGATGTCCCTCGTCTACAATATGTTTCTAATACTCATGTGCACTTTGTACGCATTCAAAACACGTAAGATACCGGAGAATTTCAACGAAGCGAAATACATTGGTTTTACAATGTATTCAACTTGCATTGTATGGTTAGCTTTCGTACCCATCTACTTTGGCTCAAACAATGACTACAAGGTCGGTATCTAAAATCATAGGAGACACGTATTATCTTGCGATTATGCGTATCAAACTGAGAACCAATTAATGGTAATTCGATACGATTTTTTAAATTTATTGTTTCAAAACAGTTGAATGTGTAATTTATATATGTACATATATGTATATACATATAACAGTACAAATTAGAAAACCTTTTTGTAGGCATGCAGCAAGAAAATACAAAATGAATTGTATTATAAATGTATTTATATTTAGTCATCTTTCCATATATTATTAATTTCTGACATTCTTCGTAATTTTACTTCAAGAGCTTTTGCCTAAAAACTTTAAAGTAGATGAACATTTTAAATATGAAAGATCGTTATTATCTTTATTGTTATTCCGCTCTCGGTGAAATAAGAATTAAACGAACGTAAATATAAATTTACAGGTGCAAATCGCAAGCATGTGCATGTGCATCAACATCTCTGCGTCAGTAGCTCTCGGTTGTCTTTTCACTCCGAAAGTATATTTGGTACTTTTTCAACCATATAAAAATGTTCGGCCTGGACATGCTAATGTGAGTAATACAAAATTTAACAAAAAACATATCGCAGCAAAACGATTACTCTAATAGTAGGTAGCTCTTCTTATTAACGAGTGATATTAAATACAATCAATTGGAAAAAGATATGTTTTAGGAACTAGTTCACTGCACTCTACTGTTCAAAGTATTATGCGTTTTTTATTTTATTTGGATTTGACGAATTACTTTAATAAAGGAACACATAAACTGCTGGGAATTTATTAATTTATGGCGCTTCACGTTTTTATTTCCAAATAAATAAAACTGCTATCTCTGCTACCTCTCCTCACGTGATCCTTACATCAGTTTCATATTAAAAACATTGTAAGTGATAATTCTTTAACTTTCATAAGAATCTATACCTATTTCGATGAATTTACGACACGAATAGAAGTCGCAAGTTTCAGAAATATTTTATTAGCACTGTAAAAGAACCGTGAATATATTGTTACGTAAATACATTTATTTAGGATATTGTTCAAATATTTTCGATCTGCCAAATAATTTAACGTAAGAATAATTGAACGTAATTCTAATCAGAGTTATAATTTCTAAGTTAATAAGAATAATTATACTTTCGGTGTAATATTATAATATAATATTTCGGATCTTAAGTGTTTCGTTAAACTATTGTAGACGGGTGGACTTCAAAGTGGTAACCGCGCAGTATACAGCATGCGATTTTCTGGCGGTCGTAGTCAAACAATGCAGAGCATGACCTCCTGTTCTCGGAGCAGTCCACCGGCATCACGTCCAAGCCAGGACGAGGTGAAACATGCCAACGGTGAGACACAAGCACTGGCGAGCCCGTCTGTCGAGGAGACCTCGGTTAGCTAGGTCTCTCTCATACACATCCCTCCCTGTCTAGAGTGTCAGGCCAGAATTCATGAGACCACCGTGGAGATATACGACGATGACGAAGAGGACCGTAAGCTCTCTACTATCCAGGAAGTGTCAGAATCAAGAGACATTTCCAGTCCTTCGATGTTCGCGGAAAATTGCCGAAATCGAAGTCGGAAGTCGATTTCCAGCGATTCCGACCAGGTGATCGATGTTTCACTAAGTCTTACAAATCTCAATCTAATTTTCGATCAAACGTTGTTAAAAAGAAATGTAAGAGAGGACTTTCTCGATCCTTATTTCATAAAAGTTGATTTTCTTCACTTGCATATCACTCTGTTATCGAGAAATTAAATAGTTTGATCGAATAAATATCGATTAATGCTTGTACGCTAGGAGTAAACTTTTCTAATTTATATTTTTATAACTATTTTTTTGAGTCGGGCGATCCAGCACGTAAAAATCGCATGGGAACGATCAGTTGCATCTCCGACAAAGTGGAGTCTTATAAAACTGAAGCTAACATTTTCCCAAGCGAAGATCAAACTTTCCACGTCTACAGCGATTCACCGACGTTTTCCGATTTTTCATCGTAAATCACGACATGTAATGTCAAGGTAACGAAAAACTGTCATTTTTTTAACATGCGAAAAATTATTTAACGGTGCCAAGACGTCTTTTTAGCCTCGCATTTGTCCTCACAAGGGCAAATTAGATATAAAGTGCATACATATATGTAAGTGCGAAATTACTGTTCAAAACATTTAGAAAATCAAATACCTTTTATATAGCTTTTTAGCAGATTTCAATTCCAATTTCTTCTAAATTTTTATTCTAATTTATTCAACGTTCTTCCAGTTGTTCATTTTTTCCTTGGCTGTTTTGGCAGAATTTATTATTTCAAATCTTGAATTTGGAGATTCGTATCGAGATATTTTCCATCAGTGCTACAGACACGAATTAAAATGCAATTTACTTAGGTGAACTACTTAATATTACGTTGTTCGATGAACAAGGATAATAATCTCGATTCGTTAGTTCCTTATACATCTCTTAGGGATAAATATTGCAATATTTCGTACTATATATTACGACATTCAATCGAAGTTGATAACACGTGTACAAAATATTTATACTTATTTTATATGTATACAATGTTAATTTACTTTACGAGGATAAAGTCTTGATTACAATTTTGATAGAATATCAGTAGAATAGATATATTGTACACATTTATTTGCAAACTATTTTATAAAACTATCAAATATTTTATCCTCTTACGGATTGTTCCAGAAGTACGTATGCGACAAATTAACGAATCACTAACAGAAGAGGTATCGTATACGATAAAGAAAATCGCCACTGTTTTCGCATTTCTTCCTTCAAGAAAATTGAAATGTAAAGCTGAATGCTACATTGATATCATCCGAAAAGATCTAAATTTTTCATTCCTCGATTATCTCTGACAAGATACTCAAACTTTATCTATTTTTTAACATATTCGGATGTCGTGCCCACTTAACATAATAATAAAAATATGTTCTCCACAATTTCCACATATGTATGAAACTAAATCAGCCGTGAAAAGTTAATTTACTTTTCTGAAATCTGTTGCTAAGTAAAGAATATTTGGAGCACTCTCTTCGCAAAAGTCGCGAAACTATTAACACATATCCACCATTCTCTTAAGTGGCTTGCAAACGTTTGTGAACCACTTAAGCGGTTGGCGCAGACACGTGACGCGCACGAATGCTGATGCTTGCTGAAGCCAGGGTTTCAATAGCTATGCACAAACGTTCATGAGCACTTGGAGCCCTCGCTATGTAAGCAATTGTTGATCCGTGTACGAAAAACGATAGCCTCTCGTCTTCATTGAACGCGCGCAAACAACGAATTTCATTCCAAGTACCGACACTTTTTAACAACACTCGTGAACTGTGAATACGAAACGAATTGCTACGTACTTCTAGTTGATCTGTATAGAAAAATCAAAACAGGAACAATTTCTTTTCGCTTACTATATTTAATTCAATGAGCAAAAATACAAAGATTTTGTTGCTGTCATATTATTAATTGTAAATGAATCTCTTTCACTTAAACGAAAATAATTTAAAAATACAATGAATTCTTTTGGATCCGTTTGTTACGCTTTTATATCGCATAACATCTAAATGTGATAATCATAAATGAGAATATGATTTAGAAGATATTGTTAATTCTTAAAATAAATTTTATATAATTATCTATGTTATAGATATCTATAAAAATTGTCACTTTCGGATGTTCCGTTTATCATTATGTTTCACGTTGAATATTTTATTTATACAACTTTTTATGCTGTTAATGAATATTCGTTAAGTTATTAGTTCTTAATGAGACATCAACATCTGATCTTTCTGACTATGCCAAAGTTCTTAAATAAATATTACCATAGATAGTACAATAAAACTAATATTGGAAGTGAAATGTCCAATACGGTAAATAAATGTGTACTTTTACAAATATATATAACTGCCGACGATTAAAAAGTCAAATAGCTATAAAGAACAAAAATTAGACATATGTAGATCGTGTGCGTGTGTAAATGTGTACGTGAGAAATAAATGAGCGTGAATTTTTGACTAAATATGTGCCAACAACGCTGAGAAATTACGTGAACAAATAGGATATACTGTATTATAAAATGACTTTTAAACGAGAAGCGTTTTAAATAAATTAGACGCCACGTATCCTCACTTGAATATTTCTATTAAATATATATATATATATATATATTAATTGCATTGTTAGTACTAAATTACATAGATGTTTATTTATAGATATATCGTATGTTATTACATCAACGTTGTACAAAAATTAGACACGTATTTTTGTTAATTTTGCGTACTGTAAATTTTTCCAGAAAGTTATCTGAAAAAAATTAGATCACGCGTTAAAGGTTTAAAAGACATTTTAATATGATAATGCGGGCGTAATGAAATAATCTTTTACAAAATTATTAATTACTCTCGTAGTATCTTGAAGATGTCCGATTATGTGCTTATTACAAAAATATCTCCGAAAACTATGCGAGAGATGAAACGGTTAAACATCTTTGCTTGACTTAGATTACTAATTTCAATAATTATTAATGATTTGTAGAAAAATTACCAGAAAGACGAAAGCTATAAATGAGTCAAGGAAATTATATTTTATCTTGATAAAATAAATTGAATACTATTATTATAATATTAAAGAAATTTGTTAGTGGAAATCTATTTTGTATCGTTAAGTTAAATTGTTAAATAGGAAGGACTTCTTTTAATTTTTTGAATGAAATCAAACGAGATGAGAGAACAATCAACAATCAAAGATGTTTACTTCGAATTTATGTATAGCGATTAAGTGGAAAATTGATTGTCGCAGAAGCGTAGACAACGAAAAATATAGAGCCCAAAACGTTTTGTCGTAAAGGTAATATTCATAAAAGCTACAAGCAACAATTGTAAGACTTAAAAAAGTTACATAATTCTAACGGTTATGAGAATCAAATATTATTCTGAACCTTGTTCAAGGTTTATCGATAGAGAAAGAATTTATCCACTTCTCAGTGTGCTTTGGAATTTATTACAGTTGTTATAGCGATTAAAAATATACATGTATTATAATAATTAGATAACTGAAATTCGAGTACATCTGATTACTCTCTTCTAATAATGAATGCAATGGTGACCTGATAGGTAGTTACGTACAGATAACAAAGGTCAATTTATTCTTACTTTTACGTTTTAGACACTAATTAATAACCATGCGTATAATGATTCACACGCGACATGTTATGTAGTTTTTAAGAAAAAACTCTGATATCTGAATACAACTTGTTGTATGTTTGTATGTTTAGAGTGAATATATAACATATATAGTATATATGAAAGAAGAATATACAAGGAAATAATGAAATACAAATTAATAAGTGGACTAGTGAGCTATAATAAGGTTTCTCATTTTTCAAATACAATTTTATATTCTGGTGCCAACCGAGATAAATGTAATCTCAATTATACATTTGTAAAATGAAAAAAAACACTTCATAGTCAGCCAATAAATACTGAAAAAAGAAAACTATTTGATTTTTAGTTAACAATGTTTGTTTATTATTTTCTCTCCATAGCAGGAAATATGACATCAAATCGCGTAACAAGAAATATGGACTTGGATAAAGTAGCTTACATTATATATATATTCCATTTGCTGTATGGGCAAATGATAAATAACAAAACTAAAAATTATAAATTAAATTTATCAGCATTTTTTGATTGATATTCATTTTTATGATAATTTAAAATATATACAAGATGTATAAAAATAAAAAAGAACAACAGTGTACAATCGACTATCAAACACGTTCAACAGACATGTTAGTTCTACTTCTAAATCTGATTATTTCGGAGCTATAAGACCTTTCAGACAATCGAACGTATTACCATCTGGATGTACGGTAAACATCGTTCCATCTTCTCCTCGTACACGTAAATATCCGTAATCGTCTATACCTAGTATTTTAACGTTTTGTGACACCCCAGATGCTGATAATACCGTCACATTTGTGTCGCTGTTGAAACATAAAATATATTTTAATTAACAATATTTCTCAATAATGAAATTCACAGATAGTAAACGTAATTAAAAAGAATTGTAAGTAAAACTTACGTGTGCATCCAATAAGTATAATATGCATCCAGAAAATCATCTATATTACCACTTTGTACGATATTTAACCATCTTTCAATTTCATTGAATACAATAGCAAAGTATTGTTCGTATGATATCATTTCTAACTTTTTCTGATATATTTCGTTAAATGTAGTAACTATATCATTGATGCAACATGTAGGTTCTTTATTGAACAAATTTATTCCAACTCCTAATAATGATAATTATTTAAAAAAAAGAAGAAGTGATTTTATTAAATGTTAAATTATGCGTGACAATAATAATACTTACCAACATTACATATATTAAGATCCGACAAGATATGAGTTTCTACAATCAGTCCACCAATTTTAACATTATTACCAGCATAAATATCATTAGGCCATTTTAATCTTAAATCGATATCCTATAATTAAAAATTAATAATTAATTAATTATATATACATATATACATATATAATGATAAATATAAATAATGATTATTAATGATGTAGTACTTCATATCCAGATAGAGACTTAAATGCGGATATAATTGCAACAGAAACCAAATGTTGCAAAATTGAGATTCGTCTTCCAAGTATGGTATCGGTAGGCACATGAAGTTGCAACGTGAATAGTGCTGCACCTTTTGGACTGAGCCAAATATTTTTACTCCTTCCTTAAAATTCATACAAAACATATTCGTTATATGATAAAAAAAATCAATAATTGGTAATAACTAATTGATTAAAGAATGTTTTGGCTTCTCTCTTTATTCTATGATTCTAAAACTGTACGAATTTACATCCTAAGGAATTGTGGACGCTTCTCTTTACTTTTACTTTATTCTACATGCATAAAGGTTTATCAATCAATTCAATGGAACGTAAATTGTGCCTAAATTCATTGCACCATTCTTGTGTAACATTTGTTAATAATAATGATCGGTTTAAACGATTAAACAAAGAGCCAAAACTGTTAGTGAAAGTTGTTGCACATGCTTTAAACTATGTTCACGTACGATTCTATTATAGATATAAATATTAAATTAAATATTATAGCAGCTAAGTCTTCGATCTATTGAATAGAGATCCTTGTCATACCTCGACCTTGAGTTTGCTGACGGACAATAACAGCTAAACCATGTCCTAATTGATGACCATTAAATACATCCATTGATGATGTCATTATATCAACGTATATAACCAAACGCCCTAATTCCTTGGTAGATAAATTCTATAGCACGAAAAGTATGTATGATAAGTCAATAAAATAATGGATACAATTAAACTGAATAAAAAATGAAGTCAAATTTATCACAGCTGATATAATTTAAAAGAAAAATTACCTCAAAATATTCTACGGTTGAGAAATTGTCAGGACACTGATGAATCATAATTGGTAGGAACAAAGCTGAAGCAGGTCGTGGAACTGTGCTGCTTCTACAAAACTGAATTTCCAGCTTTGGCATTTTTAAACTATCGTTTGCTGTCATTACATCCTTCAATCTTTCTAGCATTTCTAGTTTCAACTATCAACATGAAAGAAAGTAAACGTAAATACTAGTCTCTTTGTTTTTAGTTACGAATCTTCTAAATATACGAATTACACAAAAATATTCGCAAAAAATTAGTAATTTTAACATGACAGAAGCATAATTAATTCAAAAGCAAGAAGTATAGCATGAATCGACAGAAATCGCTAGCTTTAGTGTTTTTGAAGTGATAGTAGTTATAGAACAATTTATTGAAGAATGTTTCATAGTATAAAGGGAGCCATCAGAGATGGAATCAAATATAATGCAAATAAAATTGGACAGTTTTATGAGTTCTCGCAAGAAAAGGAAAACACAGATTATTGACCATGCAAATTCGAATCTAGACAAGATAGGTTTCTATCTTTTATAAGTAGTACGTACTTTCATGAGTAATAATTTGATTTGACTATATTGGAATTGATTTAAACTTGTAAACATATCGAAATTGATTCCACCCCTAGTTATTATATAGCATTACTTGTTTTTACAAGCGCTTTTAGTAAGTAGTATTATATTTACAAGAATGTACTATATTTGCAGAATTATCTTTGTTAGTGGTTATCAGAAAGAGAAAAATTACTTATTACACACTGTCATTGAAGTCAGTTGTCAGTCTGCAAATTATTCACAGAACATATCAATTTTCTATTTCTTTCAACAAAGTTGAAAGACGTTGTATACAAAATGACAGTAACAGCATCTAACAACATTATGTAGTAATGTTGACAGGCCCCCTTCTACCATGCTTTATTCAATAAATTTTTTCCTAATTTTGGTAATGTCAAAGATATTGAGAATAATAATCCTTATTGCTTCGTTATGTGCAAACGTAGTTTATATAGAACAAAAATCACCTAAATAAAGGATGTCATAATTATAATTGTTAATAGTTTACCTAATATATATAAATATTTTCTTTCGAAATAACAATTATTTTTCATACCTCATGTCGTCCCAAAAAGAAAGCAGACGTATAAGTTATATGTGCAGTTAGTTTTGCAGTACTACGAACTTCTATTTCAAGATGCGTTTTTAATAAATCATTGAATATTTCCAGTCTAGTTGCGTTACTTTCTTTCAAAGCATTAAATTTACTTTCCTCGAGTTCATATTGCATTGGATCCACTTCTAGATGTATTTGAGAAAAAACAAGCTTTCCGCCACTTCCTAGTAGGGTGGCAAGTAGAATACTTGGTGTGTGCCAAGTTTCTTCCGTTCCAAGTACCTTTAGATCAAACGAATGAGAGTTTCCCTTTTTATCTTTCACGCTCACTGTCGCTGGCGGAGACACACTAGATACTCTGTAAAAAATACTGAAATGTCTTGAACTGAATTTGGAAATAATTAATCAGGAGGATTATTTTTCATTAGAAACAAAAAATATAATT